TTTAACTCTAATGAACATATTATAGTTCATTCTGGAACTCCGTTCTCGACTGAAGATTGGACTTCTATAATTCATTTGAAAAATACAAACACAGTTACATGAGTATAATGCGATTCAACTAAGAATAGGACCGACTGGGCGCCATATTGTGACGTCATAGCTGTTAATTCAAACCAGTTAGGTAGAGGGAGCAAAAAAGATTTTCTTAAAAAAACTTATTACCCAGGTTTGAGTGAGAAAAAATTACTGTTTTTTTTTTATTATTTGGGAAGCAAACAATATTTTATTACGTTTAGATTAATTACATATAGAGAATAACATACATCAACAGAGTTTCCACTAACAATTAGTATAGTTGTGAGCAGATTAATAATATTTTTATTATTTTTAAAGCATGTAACTAACTGCTTGATGTTTAAATCTAAAGAAAATGTTTTTCTAGTTATATTTTCTTTAGATATAACTATAATTGCTATTTCTTATTTCAACTGTTGAATACTTGTAAAAGTATTCATTTGACATTGTGGGTTACCTATAATGCGAAGAGATGGCGCTGCCTTGCAGCTTAAGAATGGCTAGAAGAATTTCGACGCGCTCCGTGAGGGCCGCGGTAGCATAATTGGTCAGTGCATTCGCCCGGATTGCGAAGGGTGCGGGTTCGAGTCCCGTCTGCTGCCTGGTCCGCGTGGATTTTTTTCTAGTTATGTTTTCTTTAGATTAATAATATTTATTTATTAAGGCTAAGCGAAAAAATGCATTAATCAGAATCTAGCTCTTTAATTCCGCCTGTCTCTGCACTACCGTCGGAGTAGGCATCATCATCACTGATACTTTCGGCTATAAAATAAAATATGAATTATTATAGGTTTTCAAACGACAACTTTATTTAAAATAGAAACGCTCTTTTTATTACCTTTATCTATGTATATATATAAAATTCAAAGGTGACTGACTGACATAGTGATTTATCAACGCATAGCCCAAACCACTGGACGGATCGGGCTGAAATTTGGCATGCAGGTAGATGTTATGACGTAGGCATCCGCTAAGAAAGGATTTTGATCAATTCTACCCCCAAGGGGATAAAATAGGAAATGAAAGTTTGTATGAAACTTTGTCAATTTTAAACCGATCTGGCTGAGACTTTGCATGCAGGTATAAGAAGAATCATAGATGAATGTCATTGTGTATAATACAAGCCTGAGAACAAAAACTGTAGTCTACACTTCAGCTCTACACCGAAGCGAAGCGAGGGCGGGCCGCTAGTGTATAATAAAACTAAAGTTCTGATACTTCCTTTTTCCAGTACTCATTTTCTATACGTTTCATATGATTTATTTCCTTCTTTTGTTTACAAATGTTTGATATTTTTTCTAAGATTAGCTCAGTGCTATAAAAATGTCCCAATATTTTTTTGCAGACCGTACTTTTCAAGCGACATTTGACAGATGGAGGTCATTGGCTTTTCTATTCTTATTTGAATCGCATAGAAGGTAACAATAGTTGTATTCCGTAATAAATACCAGGCTGGCCAGTGCTAATGACGCCATGAATCGACGCTGTACTGGTGAATTGTTCCGAAATATACTGGCCAGTGCACTGACGTCATAAATCGACGTAATATTTATTAAAAATAGTGCGAATACAGAATATTTTTTATTCACATCATCAATTAAAAGGAGTTCTTTTTGTCCGGATGCCATTATTGTTCTTTAAATAAAAAATAAATAAAATTTGAATGCTTCTCACGCACGCTCAGTTATACGTCATATTCGTTTTCCCGGTAAAAATATGGTAGCATACCTGTACAATATGGCGTCCAATTCGTGACGTCATTACCACTGGCCAGTGTACTGATGTTTCGGAATACACCCAATATTACATTACAGGTAGGTAATAATAATAATATTGTGGGATCCTGACATCTGTACCCTTAGTACGAGTTTGAGCTCACGAAAACTATCATAGTTTTCGTAATTGTTAATTATGTTTCTATCTTCATGTTGGTGAAAAGTACCTAACCAAATATACTTAAAATTTAAGAAGCCGCAAATGATAGAATTCAAACACTCTTTATTTGTATTGAAACGAAAACAATAAAATGAGTACTCTTAGTACGAGCACGAGCTCATGAAAACTACCATAGTTTTCATAATTGTAAAACTCGTACTAAGGGTACTGGAAGTGTGTTAGGGAAGTGCCTGGCTGACCTCCCTTATAAGATAACTAGCGGCCCGCCCTCGCTTCGCTTCGGTGTAGAGCTGAAGTGTAGACTACAGTTTTTGTTCTCAGGCTTGTATTATACACAATGACATTCATCTATGATTCTTCTTATACCTGCATGCAAAGTCTCAGCCCGATCGGTTTCAAATTAACTAAGTTTCATACAAACTTTCATTCCCTATTCTATCCCCTTGGGGGTAGAATTGATCAAAATCCTTTCTTAGCGGATGCCTACGTCATAACATCTACCTGCATGCCGAATTTCAGACCGATCCGTCCAGTGGTTTGGGCTGTGCGTTGATAGATCACTATGTCAGTCAGTCACCTTTGAGTTTTATATAATTATGTAGATATTATTCACAAGGAAGGAAGGAAACTGACACTTGGTTTGAAAATTTCGGCAATTGCCGAAAGAGGAGAAAAAAAAACTTGTGTTATAGCATGATGAGGCAATCTTTAATTACAGTTATATCATATCCTAACAATTAAGCATATGTGTTAGTCTGGTTGTAGTAATATAGCTGTGTTGACGGTCCAAAAAAATAATAAATAAAAGAAGGTACGTGCACTTTACAGATGGGTGACTACTGTACTAAAAATCAGTACACATTTGACAATGACATTTCGAACTCGCAAATGTTACGAATTCGATATTGGTTCGTGCTAAGGGCACAGGTGAGATGTAAGTTGATTGCGGTGAGTTTTAGACAATATTGCTAACAAGAACAATGTGTGGTCTAACTGTTTTCGTACTATTAAATACCCAAATTTATAGAGTTAAGGTAATGGTCGCAACCAGTCTCACAGATATTTCTGATTCTGACCCTTTTCGGAAGAGTCTAACTGGAATCATTGAGCCATTATTGGCTACTTATCACAACAATATTAAATACCCTAGATACACCAACACGAAAAAAATCATGCCCGAAACCTGTCCACAAGGTACATTGGACGATCCACAGAGATCCGTAAGATGATCGCGTAGTTTAAACAATATAAGGCATTATTTAAACATTGAAAATCACCTTTAAAGCATACTGTATAAGGTCTTAATTAAAACGCAACGCGTCATAGAGTTATGACAGTCTGATATGTAAGCTCGTCAAATTTTACGACATTGCTGTATGCAGAAGAATAAAGACCTTATTTCTTTGACTGTAGGCGCAATTCTGAATGCGCTATTAGTAATATAGCAGGTACGGTCCGCGAGGAAATGAGACGGCTATATTATCGACCATGCATTTGATAATCACAAATATTTTCTATTAAATCAGTTTATAGTAAGTATTAAAACAAAATTTACTTCAAATGTGTTAAATTAAAAAACATTGATTAGATACCTGTCGAAAAAACGTCATTTTACCTTCTTTATGTATTTCTTTCGCCTGTTTTCACGGAGCTCAGCGGCATGTTGACTTTTCAACGGTCCGCGCGTGACAGTGAATCAAAAAGTGCTTGAGTGGTGTTCAAGCACTTCTTGATTGGGACACATTTTGAGCACACGTGGTGTATCTAGGGTATTTAATATCGTTGACCTATCACTACAATTTTTAGTGTTGCACCGAATGTCGGACTCGGCCGAATGTTCGGTTTAAATATGTGCTGCAGCCGAATGTCGGCCGAAATTTGGTTAAATTTCGCGAATTTTTACTTAGTGAACAAAATGTTCAAAATTAATAATAAATATAGACTATTGTTTTATTATAAGTAATATAAAAAATACTTAAAGTCAAAGTATCATTATCTAAAATAAGTTATAAAGAAGAAAGAATGTTACGGTACGTATGTACCTTGCTGATTCTTACAATTGATAATTTTTAAGGCATATTTTTGATACCCGATTGCGGCTTGTGAAGTGTGTGAAGCAAAAGCATGCAAATACAGGGGTCTAGGCTCCGAATATGATTTTGTCCCATTCGGTGTCGAGACCCTTGGTCCGTGGGGTCCAAGCGCTATGAGGTTTTTTAAGGAAATATCAAAAAGGTTAGTCGACATCACTGGAGACCGAAGAGCTGGCAGCTACCTCGGACAACGAATTAGTCTAGCTATTCAAAGGGGGAACGCTGCCAGTATCTTCGGAACCTTGCCTAAAGGGACTCCTTTTAGTAATATATTTTAGTTATTATATTATATTTTTGACGTGACAACGTCTTAAATTAGGTTGCGGCCGGGAGTCACTTATGAAAAAGTGTAACGCTCGGTAACGTTACGATGAGTCTCTCGTGTTAAGTTTAAGTTTACATGTACAATGTTTTAGTAAACAAAATATATTTCTATAGTTAAAATTTGTGCAATTCTTATTTTCATTCAATTCCTTGTTCCTATTGTGCAATTTAATTATATTCATATCAATAAATATTCTACCGAGAAAAAGACGTTGTCACGTAAAATCTTCGCCCGTAAAACCGACTTTACAGGCAACCATTTTTTAAGGTTTTTAGTTTAATTGTTCCTGTATATATAGAAATATTAATTTAAGCTACCGTATCTCGGCCGACATTCGGGACGGGAGATCTAACCAACATTCGGCCAAAGATTAAGTTCGGTAAAATTAATGTGAAACGAATTTCGGTGCATTTCTACAATTTATCCCATTGACATACGTACTTCCCTGTAGCCAGATACTGGCACAGAAGTGAGCTTGCAAATTAAGAAGAATCTGACAAGAGCTGTCGGAAAAAAGTCGATACCGAACAAATGTGACGTACACACAACCATTTTATTACATTTTTATATATGCGGCGATGTTTTTATACGCATTTACTTACTAATCATATCGAGGAAATGTGTTCTAACGTGGTGGAGTGTGATTTGTCGGAGAGGGAGAGGCAGCCGGAGGCCGTGGAGTGCGTGTGTAAAGGAGGCCCCACGCTGGCTATCCTGCAAGAGGTGCAACGTGGGTACGAGGAGAGGATGGCTCTGATAGAGCGGCTCGGCGGTGCCAACAAACTACAAGTATACACTTATCCGTACTAGCTCGTAGCGTAGTGGGTTGTGGCTTGAAAACTCCAGTAAATGATCTCGTCTATAGCAGTGCAGGCATTACTAATGGTGTAGTATTTCTGCGAAAACGATTTTAATTTTGTAACGAATCTTATTAACAAATACAAGCAAACAAGCAGCCTTTGATTTTATCAAGCAACTGATTGCAAAATTTATATTACGGCACGAATCTGTAATCAAAAGTCAGTTCGAGAAAAAAAATGTAGCTTTTGTAAATAACTAGAAACCTTAAGCTTTTATGTAAAATATGTAGCTTTGGCATTGAAATACATTTGGATTTATTATTTAGAATTATTTAGAATTCACGTATAAAATTTTTGTATAAACACAAATTTCATTAAAATAAAAGAAATTAGTGACTTGTTTGCGGAGTATTTTCTGACGTCTTTTTTGACGCCTAATTATCAATCGGATCATACATAATAAATATCAACAATAACCTCAACAGTGTGAATGATGTGGAAGTTGATCCAAATAAAATACTTAATCTCCTAACATATCTCGATTTAAGCAAATCTAGTGGACCAGATTTGATTCCCCCTCTTTTTATAGTAAAATCTGCCAAAAGTTTAGTGAGAATCACTTCACCACTCTGCATTGTGTTCAGATGCTCACTATCTGAGGAAACTGTTCCTAAGATATGGAAATCAGCTTTCATTGCACCGATATTTAAAAAAGGTGACAAAAATAATTTAGAGAAGTTGTACCGTCAATATCAAAATTATGTTTGTTTGCCAAAATAATTGAAAAACTAATTTACCAAGCAAGACGTATACTCTAGCCTTAACATTTTATTTAATGAAGAACAACATGGGTTCCTTAGAAAGCGCTCTACAACCAGCAACCTTTTAGTAGCGAATGAGTTTATCACCGAGGCAATGGAGAATGGCGCTCAAGTAGATGTTATCTATACCGACTACCAAAAATGTTATGACAGATTAGATCATCAAGTATTGCTCTCCAAGCTCCGTTCTGCAGGCATACATGGCAATTTTCTTCGTTGGTTTACGTATTATATTGAAAATCATAACCAAGCTGTAGTCCTACGAGGTTATGTGTCGAGGTGGATAGATATACCATCTGGGGTGCCCCAGGGGTCGATTTTAGGTCCGCTTTTATTTGTCATTTTGACACTATTAAATGTTTCCTGAATTCTAAAATAATTTTAAACCTTTTGATTTGTAAACCTTCCTAAAATAAAATAAATAAATTTTAATTACAATTCAAGTGCTTACTTCAATCACAGAAATATTGCTTTTTTATGTGTGGCTGTATAGCGGCCTGTATTTCGCGCGACAGCATTAAAAAAGTGCTTGCTCGTCATTTATAGACAAATTTATTTTCTATTAATTTTAATTAATTATATATACCTAATGGTGTTGAAAAAAGTCGTATAACAATAGTAAGCTATTGAAAATAGCTAACTCGCCTACGGCTCGTGCCCAATGCCAGTCTCGAGTGTAGGCTAGTAATTTTCAATAATTTCAATTATCAATATGGGCGGCTAAAATCACACCCAATTACCTTCTTCCAAAACGCGGACTCAGGTTACAGTCGCGACACGTAATTCTAGCGCTGAACAAATAGTCCAGTCAGTATTGTCGCGAAATCCGTTTTTCCTCAAACAGCTGGAACTATGCTAAAAAGTTTCTTAAGATAGTAAAGAACACTTTACATAGAGAAAAAAATGTTTCCAACCCCGGGCAAGGGTGAAAACCACCCTTAATAATCTATTTTTCCAATTATCTCAAAAAGTATACGAGATACGGAAAAAAACTTCAAATGAAAATTGTAGATCTTTTTGAAATCTACAAAACATTATTCCACCCTCTTGCCCCTATTTTCAATAGGGGAGCCAATAATCGAAGTCAAAGATTCAATACTTAAAAAGTTAAAGTTAGTTAAAAAAGTTATCTTTACTATCTTAAGAAACTTTTTAGCATAGTTCCAGCTGTTTGAGGAAAAACGGATTTCGCGACAATACTGACTGGACTAAAACTGCTGGGATGATAACTGCGCATGGGTACGACTGCAGAGACGCCCGCCCACCCGCGCACCTCGTTTCCCCCCCAACATAATATTATTATTTTTCTTTTTTGCCTAAACGGTAGGACACGTCATTCCTAAACTTTGTTAAACCATTTTTTTTTACATATTTTTATTTTTTATTTTATAGTCATAATTTTTATATTATTTGCATTTTTTTTTGTTTGTAATGAAAAGTGACTTTATGAGTTACCTCATATTGAAGTCATTTTTCAATTTGACGACTCTGTATATAATACAGGGAGAAAAAAACAGCCCTTGCTGAGTTTCTTGCCGGTTCTTCTCAATACAAGGTCTCCCGCCGTAGATTTGCGAACCGATGGCGTAGCTTTTCGACATTCACAAGTGCTTGTAACAGCCTAGACTGAATAAACGATATTGAATTTTGAATTTTTTTTTTTGAACACATCTTCATTTTTACGCGCGCGCAGTAACGGTCCAAGCTAGAGTTTCATGCCGCGACTTATAATCATGGTTTAAAGTTACTAATGTACCTGTCTGTTCTTTTTAGCAAAGTGACAGCTTTAAGTTTAACTTTAGTCACCTGGCGGGAGCGCGGCCATTCGGAGACGTGTTCCGCGACCACACCCGCCCTCTCGGCACGCACTAGGGGGACCGCGGTCCTCATAGTGCGTGTCGGGTGACGGTGCAGGAGTATTGTCTGGTTTTTAGTGGCCCTGTTCAGGGCGTAGGTAGGGCCCTGTTCACTTCAGCGAGCCCCAGGGCCGGCTGAAGAGGACAGGGAGGAGTCTCACATACCTTCTTCTCGCTCCCTCAGAGGTTGAAGGATGCGTAATGCATTTCTCAGACACAAAAAAAACGGTGTAACTTTAGTCAATGTCTTGTAATAAGGCGCAAAAATTACCTAATCGGGATTTAGGCATCACTTGTGCTTATATTGTTGTGGTGAAGATGCAAGTGGAGGTGCTGCGCGGATGGGTGGGCGACCTGTCGGGCCAGAACACACTGCTGGCGCGCGCTGTCGAAGAACTGGAGGCTGAGGCGACCTCACGCTTGTTGCTTGAGAAGAGGCGCCACTCTGAGGTAATATAACCACAGTATAATAACATTACCTTTTAGTGGTGTTGTGGTTCTGTTGGTGAGTAAGGTTCCAAGTGGTAGGGGATTGGGCAGACCCGTCTTTCCCAATGGGCACTTTGGGCAAGTGCCCAGGGCCCCGCGATCGATAGGGGCCCACCTCAGATCAAATACAAAGTCCCTAGTTCCTGTTAGATCACCAAACGGAAGTCATAGGGGCCCCATTATCCTAATATGCCCAGGGCCTCCAATGTCAAAGACGGCACTGGGATTGGGTCAGTGTAGGTACAAGCACAAGTGATATTTTTTGTGTCGCAAGCTTCTATAGAGGGGTATATAGTATATTGAGGAGCTCGATGGCGCAAAAGGTTAGCTCGTTCGGCTGGGATCGTTGAAGTTAAGCAATTTTCGCAGTGGTCGGTCACAAATACGGGATGAAAAGGAACTCCTTATATTTAACAATAAAATAAAAAAATATTTAACTGATGAATGATTCTATTCTATCGAAAAATACTATAATAAATCTGTATATATAAAACTCAAAGGTGACTCAGACTGACTGACATAGTGATCTATCAACGCACAGCCCAAACAACTAGACGGATCAGGCTGAAAAATGTTGTGACGTAGGCATCCGCTAAGAAAGGATTTTGATCAATTCTACTCCCAAGGGGATGAAATAGGGAATGAAAGTTTGTATGAAAGTTTGTCAATTTTAAACCGATCGGGCTGAGACTTTGCATGCAGGTATAAGAAGAATCATAGTTGAATGTGATTGTGTATAATACAAGCCTGAGAACAAAAACTGTAGTCTACACTTCAGCTCTACACCGAAGTGAAGCGAGGGCGGGCCGCTAGTTTAATTAATATGTATTTCTTTTTTCATTTGTTTTTGTTTTGTTAAATTATGTTATAATGATGGTATCTCCCAAACCAAACTAAATATAATACAATTTTATAATAACATAATAATTAATGTTTAATTATCTATTATTTGTTATACCTGTACAAGGCGACTAAGTCATAAGATGCTATGTATCATGTTTAAGAACCGTATGTAACACTTAGTTTGTTAATAAAGAGTTTGAGTTTGGATGGGTGACCAATAATTTACTATCTCGAGCTCCTCCGTGCTTCGGAAGGCACGTTAAGCCGTTGGTCCCGGCTGCATCTGCAGTCGTTAGCAGCGACCGATCCGCACTGGGCCCGCGTGGTGGGTCATGGCCCGATCTCCCTATTCCATCCGTAGGGAAGGCTTGTGCTCCAGCAGTGGGGTCATTAATAGGCTGATGATAATGTTGAAGCGTCTATAGACTATGGTGGCCGCTTACCATGAGGCGGGCTATATTCTACTTTGCCACCATTTTAACAAAAAGAAACTTACCTAATATAATATACTAGCAAACCAGTGAACCAAATGTTCACCAAAACCTGATTTAAAAAAAAAATGTATTTAATTAATTGAGAACTTCGGAGATTTTGTGTGATTTCGTTTGAAATTCGTGCTTTCTCGAAAACCGGAAGTGCTACGTTACTCAAATCCGGTTTGTAGTCTTATCAGACTATTCTTAACTTATAACTTAAACATTCTCTTTATCTATCTCTTACGGTTTGGCCGCTGAAACAGCACCACAGACAGACGGACGGACGGACTTGTCTAATAGATAAGAGATATTTATATTCATCACACTAATAATATTATAAAGGCGAAAGTTTGTGAGTGTGTGAGTATGTGACGAGTGTGTATGTTTGTTACTTCTTCACGTCTAAACGGCTGGAGCGATTTTAATAAAATTTGGTATGGAGTTAGCTGACACCCTAGATTAACACATAGGCTACTTTTATCCCGAAAAAATGTTAGGTTCCAGAGGGATTTTCAAGAAACTAAGTTAACGTAGGCGAAGTCGCGGGCGACCTCTAGGAATATATATATATATATAAGTATTTATTTATTTATGTTAAAATGGTGCCAAACAAGAATATGAGTCGTCTAATGGTATGTGACGCCATACTCTATAGATGCTTGCGATTGTTGCGATATCAATAATATCACTTGCGCCGTTGCTTTCATCATCAGCCTATTAATGTCCCCACTGCTGGGGCACAGGCCTTCCCTACGGATGGAATAGGGAGATTGGGATTGGTGGGTGCTAACGACTGCAGATGCAGCCGGGACCAACAGCTTAACGTGCCTTCCGAAGCACGGAGGATCTCGAGATAGTAAATTTTTGGTCACCCATCCAATGGCCGACCACTGCGAAAGTTGCTTAACTTCAACGATCGCTGCCACTTGCGTCATCGAGCTCCTCACGCCGTTGCCTACCCTGATTCAATCCCCTACCTCGTGGAGCCCTAGAACTTTACTCACAGACAGAAACATATCACCGCCAAAAGGTTGTTTTACTGTGGTTTTCTTTAAGGTGGTGGTGTAACTATTTTAAGAGAAATAGCGGATTTTCCGCTCCAAATAGAACGCCCGTCTGGGTAAATAGGTTATTTCGCTTAGTTCGCGTCCAAATTTTCTTGCCTTCCTTCCTTGAAAAAGTATTCATTTGACATTGTGGGTTACCTACAATGCGAAGAGATGGCGCTGCCTTGCAGCTTAACGCTAGGAAAATTTCGACGCGGCTAATAGGGCCGTGGTAGCATAATGGTCAGTGCATTCGCCCGGATTGCGAAGGATGCGGGTTCGAGTCCCGTCCACTGCCTGGTCCGCGTGGATTTTTTTCTAGTAAGCTTTTTTTTATCTAAGAGATGTTTTGGTAAACAGAAAAAAATCCTTTCATGTTCAATTAGGAGTTAAAGAAAACACAGGCTAAATAGGTGCCATAAGTCCTGAAAGATGCCCTCTGTAGCTAAAAGGAAGGATCATTTTTAGGCAAGAATTTTATTAATCGATCGACTGATAAACATATTGATTGTTTTTATACCTACACCTGGACGTAATCTATACCAAATAAGGTGATAATACAATTTAATTATACTCATTTAATTAAAATACATAACGTTAATATAAAAAAAAACGACGGGTTGCACCCCGGGAGTGCCGGGAGAAGTGAAAACTTGAATATTAACGTTGTGCATTATTGATATTTTGGAATGGTTAGGGAATAATTTTGCACGAATTGCTTTAATTATCAGTATAAAAGTACTATCATGTTTGTGGTAGAATACAATATTTATTTATTGCGCTATCGTACACAAACATGACAATTTATATTACATTAAAAAACTTTATCTCTCAGAAAAATCATCTTACATGAATCACATTTAATCGCACCTAGCGACATCTATTGTAAAAAAAATGCATTTTCTTCGCAATGAAGCTGCCACGTGGACGTCCTAGATAGAAACTTATTATTGAAAGTCAACAACTTTTCCAATTTTATACCTGACGCGAGTTTAACATATTTTACCCATACAAAAAAGGTACAACGCCGCTAAAGGAGTTTTCACTTCAATAAAATTGACTTTATAGTAAAAAAAAGGATTGGTACTTTAACGATGCCCCGCCGCTGTAGCCGCGACTTGGAGAATCTACATGGCGACAGGTTCTGGTGTACAAACAGTGTGACAGCGTCCCTAAAGCAAGTGATTTGAAGAAGGCAAGCTTCCAGTGTCGTAAAACGCACTGAAACAAAGTAGAGGCTAGACCATAGAGAAAGGTAAATATACCAAAAGGGGCTAGACAATAAATTTTGACAGCTTCGTTATCGTATTGTCATTGTCAAATTTTGAATGGACGGAGCCATTTTGTTTTTACGTTCTGTACCTACCCCTAGCACGAACCATTATCGAATTCGAATAGTTTGCAAACCGAAATGTCAATGTCAAAATTTGTATGGAAACTTGGGTAGTTTTCCAATTACAGCACTGGAGCGCATTATGCGGCATAATGCTTAACGATGAATGTTTCAACTACAGCAACGCTTCGCACAATCGAGCACTCTCAAAAGTAATGTTTTCGTGTGATGCGTGCAATCGTGCCAACTTAGTGACAGAAAATTAACAAGTGTTTTTTCTTTAAGTTGGCATTGATCGAAATGTTTTATTTATTTATTATCGTTATTAATATTATCTATTGTTGAAAAAATTTTAAAGCTTTCGTTTCATTGTAGTTTTTTTTAAATAATCAAAGTTAATTCAAACTGTGTTAAAAAAAAATATAAGTATGGATGAAGGTACAAACATTGACTTTTATTTTCAACACTGAACTTAGCGCACTCTGCTGGTGCATTTGAAAACTAATTCACGTTCCAATTAAGCATCAGCATAATTCGGCATTGTGCGCCACTGAGTCGCATTATGCTCTGTAATTGGAAAACTACCTTGAACAGCAGCGGCACAAAGTACGTAACGAGAACTAAAAATCAGTACACATTTGACAATGACATTCCGGACTCGCAAACGATACGAATTCGATATTGGTTCGTGCTAGGGGTACTGCTTAGTTTTCGTAGAAACTTTGACGATGTGATATAGCCCCGCCACACTATGCTTCTCGAGCTGCTCATCGCTTTGCTCCTCGTACTGCCGCGATGTTGCCCTCTGCCTACCCACTGCTTTCCTCGTCCAATTTATGGTGAAGCTCCGCACTTGGTATTTGCCTTTGCTATACAATGGACGATAATACTAGGACAACGCGGGCGCTATACATTTCTGGAATAGCCAATTATATAATAATAATAATTATTACAAATATTAATTGTTTCAATATACAATTGGTACAATACAAAAATATAATGAAAGTAAATTTAAATTGAAACTAAAAGGTATGCTAAAAGTATGGCTCAGCATGTGACAGTCAAGTTTTGACTTGTCGCTAGTATTCTGCCACCACCTCACAATTATAATATTCTGAAAAACACATCAATTAAATATTATCATATATTGTACTTGCCGCCTCGTATAGTTGTTCAAGGAACCATCGTTTACGCCTTTGCATAAAACAGCTTTCCGATATTAAAAGACTTTATATATAAAAGAATATCAATGTCATACAAAGAAAAACCGACAAAATAGGGAGCAGTTGGACATGACGAGGATCATGGCGTGCGGCATGACGATTAGTTTCACCATACCATGTCTCTGCCTCCTTTCCTTGCTATTTCCCACACTACTGGGCGAATTTGTGGCAGGGCTATAACGAATATGGAGCTGTCAATATTCGTGCTTGGGCCTCAGATAGTGTGTGAGTTGCGCGCCGAGAGAGAGGCGCTACGGCGGCGGCTGGCGCGCAAGGACTCCGACCTGCGCGGGCTCGTGGAGGTGCTGCGCCGACTACGCGAGTCCGACTACTGCACGCTCGACGGGATACACTTCTTCGAGATCACCGAGTCGCAGATATTCGGCTCGCCCGAGTGGTGAGTGCGTAGACGAGCTCCAGTATAATAGTGCGCGACTTGCGCATGCTCGCGGAGGTGCTGCGTCGACTACGCGAGTCTGACTGTCTGACTACTGCACGCTCGACGGGATACACTTCTTTGAGATCACCGAGTCGCAGATATTCGGCTCGCCCGAGTGGTGAGTGCGTCGACGAGCACCAGTATAATAGTGCGCGACTTGCGCATGCTCGTGGAGGTGCTGCGCCGACTACGAGAGTCCTGCTACTGCACGCTCGACGGGATATACTTCTTCGAGATCACCGAGTCGCAGATATTCGGTTTGCCCGAGTGGTGAGTGCATCAATGCGCCACTAATTGTGCCACAGAACATAGAAAGAGGTTATAAGGGTGATCAAAAACCGTTTGTACGTGAAGAGTTCTCGCCGGCTCGTCCCCACTACACTTCCACCTAATAGATAGTAGCCAAACAAACGCCGCGACATCAAACAATTGAACTAATCGGCGCTTAGAGCATTTGCTCACACATAACTGTGGCATGCCTACCCCGCCCATTCTAACTTCTTTCTGTATTCTGTGGTTTGTGCGATGCAAATTTTATGTGGCTGGCTGCGCAGGCTCAGTGAAATACCGCGCGCGCCAATGTCAGCCTATATAATGCGATTCAACTAAGAGTAGGACCGACTAGGCGCCATATTGTGACGTCATAGCTGTCAATTCAAACCAAATAGGTAGGGTGAGCAAAAAAATGTTGCTATTTAATAAAACTTATTTACTAAGATTAAGTGAGACAAAACATCAGATTATTTAATAAAATTAATTTACTAAGGTTGACAAAGAACACAACCGATTTTTAATAGTATTTATTTATTAAGACTGCTTGAAAAAAAACATTAATCAGAATCTAGCTCTTTAATTTCTCTCATCTCTGCTTTACCGTCGGAGAAGTTATGAATAATTATGCAGGTCACATACAAACATGCATCCTATAAGTAAACGGAAGTTTTAGATCGAGTTTCTGAACGCTACATAAAGTGACATTTGGTTGACGATTTAGGTTATCAACCATTCATAGCCTAGCCATTTGTTATTGTTGGTTTAAAAATGTTTGGTTTTTATTCTAGAATCAGCCGAGTGCTAAAAAAGTGTTTCGAGATTTTTTTTGCAAACCGTACTTTTCAAGCGACAATTGACAGATGGAGGTCATTGGCTTTTCTATTTTTATTTGAATCGCATTATATTTCGTTTACTGCGCCGCCACTTAAGCCGCCATTAAGGCTGGAATCGAACTTAATTTAAATTACACTGCACCCGACTGACGTCGGGGACCAACTCGATGCCGCATTTGTAATCAACTTTAGCCGGTGAAAGGATTGGTGACCAAAAGAGCTCACTTGGTGCATTAAGCCGTTTTTCCCGACTGAATCTACAGTTGTTACGGGTCAGCGTGGTAGGTTCTGACCCGTTCTGCCTATTTCGTCCATAAGGAAGGCCTGTGCCCCAGTAGTGGTGACATTAATGTGCTGGCTAGACCAACCCAAATCTCAAAAGCCAGTAGTGCTATGATATTTAAGTTAACATCCTCGGGTGGCTGAGACATCTTCGAAAGAACCTTTCTTTGTAGATATTAACGGGATTGTTACCATGTACCTTGTTTTTTATGAGTCTCCGATAACTAACTGTGAGTAACTCCGTGATCATGGCGCTTGCAACAGTGCCGAAATATCGGAGACTCATAAAAAACAAGGTACATGGTAACAATCCCGTTAATATCTATAATGTTAGTGACCATGAAAGTTTAAAACAATAAACCTTTCTTTGTTTTTACGAATTTACATAAAACAGTACATAACGGTAGCCCTCAGGGAGTTTAATGAGCTACATTTAATTATCTACTAAGCCACGTGTTATTTTTTTATTTCTAGCATAGAGAAAAGGGTGTACCTCAACCTCGATTACTCGGCAACGTCGAGTAATTTCTCACTTTTTGCTTGAAATCTTAAGTTTAAATCTGCGAATTTAGTATGCTACCATCTTAGAAAAATCAGGGCTAAATAAGTGATTGGAATTCTATTCATCTGAATACATTTCATCGAAACTCCCATTTTATAACTTTATAGTATATTGTATATCTTTCTCACAGGCGCCAGGAGAAACTGGAGGATGGCGACGGCGTCGGCGACATCAAAAGAAAACACCGAAGCAAGACTTGAACAGACTGCAGGGGGGAATTAGTGAACAGAGGGCCAATCGCCTAACCAGATTGCTTTGGAAAACGCTATCGCTTACGATTTCATTTTGTTATTTCTTACCGCCGAAATACCTCACGCTCATTTTCTTTAACATTGTTATTACCAATGCAAAAGAAAAAAAAGAGCGCGAGGCATTTGAAAACCTCAGGGGGCTAGAAATAACAAAATGAAATCGTAAGCGATAGCGTTTTCCAAAGCAATCCAGTTAGGCGATTGGCCCCCTGGCGTCGTTTAGAGTTTTATAGACTTGTTTATCTTTTGATTCACTGTTTATATTGTTATATTATTGAATTATACTGTTTATATTGTTATATTATTGTATAATACTGTTTATATTGTTATATTTTTCTAAAATATACTTTTTGATTTTAATAAAATTTGTCTTTAATTTCTTTTTAGCGCCTTCGTTTGCGTGGTATAATTGGTATTCCATACCAAATTTTTCGTGGACAAAAGTAGCCTTTAGCTGCCTTCGAGTTCTTATTCTCCAGGCCATCTATTTCTAATTCGAAACGAAAATCGTCACAAGCGTAGGGATATAGCTTCGCTCTGCATCTTCTATCGCGTTTATCACGGGGAGTGTTCTGAGGAATTGTTCGGATTAATTCCAGCTGCTGCATTTCGCCATCGTACATCGCGACAAAAATTTCATCCCCATCATCTTGATGCGTGGCTATCCACAACCGTGCGTTTTTGTCGAAATTTTTTACTACGTAAGACAAAACTGTGGAATATATTGTCGCCAGCAGTGTTTCCGGACCGATACGACCCAAAAACCTTCAAAAAAAGAGCGTACTCCTTCCTTAAAGGCCGGCATCGCATTTGTGACACTCCTGGTGTTGCCAATGTCCATGGGCGACGGTGATCACTTACCATCCGGTGAGCCATCTGCTCGTATGCCCCCTATAACATAAAAAAATCGGTTTAGCTGTTGAGATGTGAAAGCGTAAAAAATTAACAAGATCAAACAACTTTAAAGTAGACATTGGTACCAATTCTGGCATGATTCTCTAAACTTAAAACTAAATTTAACATCAGTCTCTCCTTTTCATTCTGTATAGAGAATGACAAGGATATACTGCTGTCAAATTTAAGTTTAGGTTTAGAGAATCATGCCAGAATCGACACCATTATATATGTGTATAAATATATTTATTACATAAATATCACTCCCTTACCAAACTGTTGAGCAATACCATGTTTGGTATTGGTTGCGTCCAGGTTATTCTTATTTAGACGCGGAAGAATTCCTAAACGGGGATCCCGCGGCTTCGCGCTAAGCAGCTTAGAGGGTATTCGCAGGACTTTTTTGCGGATATTATACCGTAAAGCGCCCGTAAGAGTTGCGGGGTCCTCGGTGGACAGCCACTGGGGGGTACGTAAGACTTGCGGGAGCCAGGTGTGAGGTCCGTTCGGCGGTGTGCCTCTTAAAGGCGCCGTCGTCTGTAAATAGCATTTTTTACCTGCGTTATGAAAAAACAAGGTTATTCTTATTTGAAAACAGAGTCGTCAGACTGTACTACATCACTGAACTAATATATTTTGTTTGCTAATTGCACTAGTGGCTTGTCTTTATGACTATTTTGATTTCAATATTCATAACAATTGTTGTCTACCTAGTTGTCAGATCCAATTCGTTCATTTTCCAGCGAGAAAAGAAAAGGAAAATTAATGGAAGTTCCAATGAGCTGAAGATTTTGAATGACTCGCTGCAAAAGGAAAATGTGGCTAAAGACAGGTGACTAACCTACATGTTTGAAAGATCAACACCAGCCTATTAATGTCCCCAGTAGTCCAGCCCTATGGATGGAAAAGGGAGATAGGGCCCAGTGCAGATTGGTAGGTGCTAACGACTGCAGATGCAACCGTACCAACGGCTTAACGTGCCTTCCGAAGCGTGGAGGAGCTCGAGATAGTAAATTTTTGGTCACCCATCCATGACCGCCGACTGCGAAAGTTGCTTAACTACAACGTCACAGCCGAACGCGCTAACCACTTGCACCATTGAACTCCTCTTCTTCGTTTGAAAGATCATTTTAACATTAGTTTGATATGATAGCTCAAATCTAATATATAAAATTCTCGTGTCGCGGTGTTTGTGGTTAAACTCCTCCGAAACGGCTTTCTCGATTCTCATGAAAGGAGATTGTTCAAATTGGCCTAAATGCACAAAAAGTATTGACATACACGGTAATTCTTGCGTAATTTATAATTTAATTTACAGTCATTAGATTTCAACGGACACCTTTGTATAATATATTTACTTTAAAAAGGACTTTTAATTTTACTGGTTTGGAAAACATACGAATCATTTTTAATGGCTATGGGTGTAGTAACATTCAGCCAAAGACTGATCGAAGTTGTTTATATAACATAAAAACAAATCTATTTTGTAAAGATCAATAAAAAAAATCATTTTTTTTATTACACTGTGGTATTAATATCCACATCTATATTATCATTTTAACTAGATGCAAATGTGCTCAGACAATTATTATAGATGGTAGGCGACATCATAAAATCTATTGCCATACATTTTTCGCCAAACACCTCCATAAACACATTATAATCTGTATATATGTTAGACTTTAAGGTATCTATCTATGGGCCTACGTTCCCTGACTATAAATTAATAAATAAATAACATTATAAGGTGTGATATACCAAAAATCTAAAATATGGTCTTTCAACATTTCATCTTAAAAACATAACAAAAATAATGAAGCTACTGAATATATGGCTATAGAACCTAAATCTCTTAGCTTTCTTTGGTTAACGATAGTTTAAAAATTCTCTCTAATCTATTTTATGATACATCATACAAAAATACATACATCCCTAAATTTTCTCCTTTCTACCAACAACCCCTATTTTTTTATGGCGGTACGAAGTTCGCTGGGTCAGCTAGTTTTTACATAAAATCTTGTTTTAGAGAAATTCGGCGGCTCAATAAAGATGTACAGCAATACGAACAGGCGATAATTAATCTGAGGAATGAGTTGTCGCTGAAAGCTCAACAGAATTCGTGAGTTACTTAATTTTGATAACATCAACATTATCATAGCTTGTTTAAGTCAAGGTGAAAAGTATGAATTCAAAGAAAATTTTACTAGAAAAAAATTCCAGACGGGATTGAAACATCTTCCGCTATCCCGGAGGACTCACCAACCAGACGCTATATAAATAGATTTGATTAAACATCTAGCAGATAAAAGCTTCAAATAAATCATATAATAAGTTCATAGAAAAATGATTAGTCTAGCTAAGCTCTCTTTCTAAGACCAATAAATTTATCTAGATAGATAGAACGATAAATCATTTATTCCCATCAGTACAGCACACAAATTCAAGTAAACAAATAGAACAATTAATTGCTAGGTATGTAACTGTGTGCCGTAACGACAGAAAAAGGAAAAAACTCAGCGATACCTTTGCTCTAAGAGCACACTTATCTATGAATAAGGTAATAAATAGTTAGACTTTGCTGTGGAACAAAAATCAATCCTAGCTTGTAGTTGAATTAAAGTGTTTTTAACGCCAAGTCTATACGGCTTTTGTTTTATAAATATAACATGGACTATTATGGGGTGCAGGTAATTAGCGACATAAACATTTGAAATATGTTTTTCATAAGTGGATTGATTTACAAATTCCTCACAAGTTTTGTAAGGAATGACTAATTAGATAATTTAGGAATTTAATTTTAAATTTTATTGTTCTTAAAATATCTTGACATTATAAGATTACTAAAATTTAACGGATTATGAACAATATTATGTGAACATGCAAATCTTGCTATATTATGTCCCCTGGTATGTGTTTCAGAAATGTATCTAAGAAAGATGCCGAAGTGATGGCCGGAATGTGTTGCACCGGAAATGAGGTATTTGTTGACATGCCCCTCCAAGATTGTTTCTTTTAATAGCTGACGAGCTGAGTTGTTCTCGATATAATAACGGTCGCGTGATATTAGATTCAAACTCCATCGACGCCCGTGACTCGATGGCGAATACATTTCAAAGACATGTTATTCTATTATGTTTTGGATGCAGGGCTTGTTTACCGGTCAATTTTCGAACCTATTTAGGTTTGGCTCTACCTTAACCTTAAAAAAACCGGTTTTCCTAAAAAGTTAAATCAACTAAGTTTTTAATCAATTTAGCGGTTTTTAAAGGGGTTCATTTCGCTCTTACTGACGGCATCGCCTTCGTCGTTTCAATTAAAATTTATAATGATTTTCTTTCCAACTACAGAGCGAGTGAGTGAAGTAGTGTGTCAGTACACAACTACTAAATGAATAACTTGACTCACTAGACGCTAGCAAGCGTGTCAATAAATGCATCAATCTCTGAGCATTAACAAGTTGTGACTTGATTAGTTCAAACAAAACAAACATCAAGCGATGCCGACGCGTGCACGTGTCGCTCTGGATTAAACCTTAAGGTTTTTGGTACCGCTTTCATTTCGGACGCTCTCCGAACGAAACCTTTACTAAAAACCGGTATTGACCTTTATTTACCGGTATTTTCGAAACCAGTTACAAGCCCTGGTTGGATGTTCGTATTCGTGGGTTTCGCCTGATCCCTTATGCAAGAAACTGTACTCCTAGCACGGACCAATATCGAATTCGTATCGTTTGCGAGTCCGAAATGTCATTGTCAAATGTGTACTGATTTTTAGTTCTCGTTACGTACTTTGTGCCGCTGCTGTTCAAGTTTCCATACAAAATTTGACATTGACATTTCGGTTTGCAAACTATTCGGATTCGATATTGGTTCGTGCTAGGGGTACTGTTCTTCAATTCTAGGAAAATTTAGATCACGGAACTTGATAAAACAGGACATTAATAAGTATAAAAAATGCGCAGCTTATAAATCTGTTCTAGTGGTTTATTAAATGAGTAATGTGCCCGCGTTAGTTAAAGTTAGGTTTGTTTGTACCTTCACAGATAAATTAAAAAATAGGTGCTTAACGTCAAGAGGTAACATATAATTGTACACACTTTTTAAATATAATTATGAATGAATTTTTCAAACAACATAAAATCTGTACCTATTACCGTACGTCATCTTAATACATATTTTGAAAGAGTGTGGGTAAGCTGATAAAATGGCATATTGTGTTTCGCAAATACAACGGATTTACGATATATCTCTTAATAATTTATAATGAAATTTGTAGATATTGGTGTCGATTCTGGCATTATTCTCTAAACCTGAACTTAAATTTAACAACAGTGCATTCTTATCATTAAATGCACGGTGGAAAGGAGAGACTGATGTTAAATTTAATTTTAAGCTTGAGAATCATGCCAGAATCGAATACATTGACAAAATGAAATGATAATCATCATCAGACTGTTGGACATAGGCCTCCTCTTGAGATTTCCATACACAACCGGGTACACAACAGCGCCTTCCGCATCTAAAAAACGATAAAAGTTTTCTGTAGTTAGCAGAGCCGAATTTTGATAATATTATTTTTTTATTACAATGTAACACATCTTTACTTTATGGCATTTCAGCAGTTGTCCTATTGTTGTGTATAACATCTTTTAATTCTTCTCAATTAAGTATTGTAAGGTTATTGGATTGGCGTACGATGTTGAGTAATTGAGTGCAGTGAAGTTTGGCGCAGTGCGGTGACTGGGAGCCGGTGCGGGAGTGCAGCATGTCGGCACAGGAGGTCGCCGCCTATCAGGAGCGTATACAGAAGATGGAGGCTAACCTGAAGGTGACTAAGTAGATATTTGTCCAGTGCAGTGAAGTCAGGCGCAGGGCGGCGACTTGGAGCCGGTGCGGGAGTGCAGCATGTCGCCACAGGAGGCCACCGCCTACCAGGAGCGCATACAGAAGATGGAGGCTAACCTGAAGGTGACTAAGTAGATATATGTCCAGTGCAGTGAAGTCAGGCGCAGGGCGGCGTCTGGGAGCCGGTGCGGGAGTGCAGCATGTCGGCACAGGAGGTCGCCGCCTATCAGGAGCGTATACAGAAGATGGAGGCTAACCTGAAGGTGACTAAGTAGATATTTGTCCAGTGCAGTGAAGTCAGGCGCAGGGCGGCGACTTGGAGCCGGTGCGGGAGTGCAGCATGTCGCCACAGGAGGCCACCGCCTACCAGGAGCGCATACAGAAGATGGAGGCTAACCTGAAGGTGACTAAGTAGATATATGTCCAGTGCAGTGAAGTCAGGCGCAGGGCGGCGTCTGGGAGCCGGTGCGGGAGTGCAGCATGTCGGCACAGGAGGTCGCCGCCTATCAGGAGCGTATACAGAAGATGGAGGCTAACCTGAAGGTGACTAAGTAGATATTTGTCCAGTGCAGTGAAGTCAGGCGCAGGGCGGCGACTTGGAGCCGGTGCGGGAGTGCAGCATGTCGCCACAGGAGGCCACCGCCTACCAGGAGCGCATACAGAAGATGGAGGCTAACCTGAAGGTGACTAAGTAGATATATGTCTAGTGCAGTGAAGTCAGGCGCAGGGCGGCGACTTGGAGCCGGTGCGGAAGTGCAGCATGTCGCCACAGGAGGTCGTCGCCTATCAGGAGCGTATACAGAAGATGGAGGCTAACCTGAAGGTGACTAAGTAGATATATGTCTAGTGCAGTGAAGTCAGGCGCAGGGCGGCGACTTGGAGCCGGTGCGGGAGTGCAGCATGTCGCCACAGGAGGCCACCGCCTACCAGGAGCGCATACAGAAGATGGAGGCTAACCTGAAGGTGACTAAGTAGATATATGTCTAGTGCAGTGAAGTCAGGCGCAGGGCGGCGACTTGGAGCCGGTGCGGGAGTGCAGTATGCCGACACAGGAGGTCGTCGCCTATCAGGAGCGTATACAGAAGATGGAGGCTAACCTGAAGGTGACTAAGTAGATATATGTCTAGTGCAGTGAAGTCAGGCGCAGGGCGGCGACTTGGAGCCGGTGCGGAAGTGCAGTATGTCGCCACAGGAGGTCGTCGCCTACCAGGAGCGCATACAGAAGATGGAGGCTAACCTGAAGGTGACTACGTAGAACGTAGATATATGTCGAGTGCAGTGAAGTCAGGCGCAGGGCGGCGACTTGGAGCCGGTGCGGGAGTGCAGCATGTCACTACAATAGGCCACCGCCTACCAGGAGCGCATACAGAAGATGGAGGCTAACCTGAAGGTGACTAAGTAGATATATGTCTAGTGCAGTGAAGTCAGGCGCAGGGCGGCGACTTGGAGCCGGTGCGGAAGTGCAGTATGTCGCCACAGGAGGTCGTCGCCTACCAGGAGCGCATACAGAAGATGGAGGCTAACCTGAAGGTGACTACGTAGAACGTAGATATATGTCGAGTGCAGTGAAGTCAGGCGCAGGACGGCGTATGGGATCAGGTGCGGGAGTGCAGCATGTCGCCACAGGAGGCCACCGCCTACCGCGAACGTATACAGAAGATGGAGGCTAACTTGAAGATGACTAAGTAGATATATGTCAAGTGCAGTGAAGTCAGGCGCAGGGCGGCGACTTGGAGCCGGTGCGGGAGTGCAGCATGTCACTACAGGAGGCCACCGCCTACCAGGAGCGCATACAGAAGATGGAGGCTAACCTGAAGGTGACTACGTAGATATATGTCGAGTGCAGTGAAGTCAGGCGCAGGTCGGCGACTGGGAGCCAGTGCGGGAGTGCAGCATGTCGTCACATTAGGCCCCCGCCTACCGGGAATGTATACAGAAGATGGAGGCTAACCTAAAGGTTATTACGTAGATTTATAAATACGTGGTATAATGGGTATTATTCTTAAGGTTTGATATATAGGACATTTTGGAACATTTGTCGATACGATATACCTATAAGAGATACCTATCGTATCGATACCACTTCACTATTGGTTCCTCTACAGTAGGTACTCGCTAAAATTCTACTACAGCAGCTTTAAGGACAATGTGTGAGATAGAGTGAGATAGCCACAGTCACGCTCGCACTACGGTCTTTTTGGGGATCGATGGGCAGCTAACATCAACGGCAATGAAAACTACCTGTTTGCATGTTCGTTTTTTGAGTGTGCATGTATGCTGTTGGTCGCAGATGACCTTTACAGCGTCACCAGGCTTGGGAACGGTGAGATCCTAAGGAGACTTCAAGCCACGAATTGGCGAGTGCCTCTAGAGGTATTCCAGGCGGATGGCATATCTCCTCTCCGTATGGAGCCTCTAGACCACTCGAACCTGAGGGGGTCGGCAAAACTAGAAGGCGACTCGGACCTCGGCTCTAGTTAGCCGTTGACTCCATGTTCGCGTTACCCATTTATTTATTTCTCTGCGCGCACTTAGAACAAACACTTTCGTTTGCTATAGCGCGACCGCGCTAACTTCATAGTCGCCGTTAAGTTTGAATTGCATTATACCAGGAAAGCAGCTGCAGCGTGCGAGCGCTGCGCAAAGTAAACGCGGGTCTCAGCGAAGAAGTGCACGCGCTGCGACACGCCTGCGCCGCGCTGCAGGAGCAGTGCCGAGCTGCAGCACTGCACGCGCAGTTCAAGGACGACATCATCCGCGAGATGCGGCGCCAGCTGCACCAGGCCAAGGGCAAGGTGCACACACACCCACGCAAACCACTCGGCCACGGAGGTCGTCTAACTATAAAATAACTAATAAGATAACCAAGTTTCACATGATCATGGGTACATAAAAATGGAAAAACAAAATTTCCAGTTGCAAAGAAGTAATAGATTTTCACATGCAGGATTTGATAATTACTAAGACGTGGAAATGAAATAAAAAAAAATTGTGTGTGTCAGCTCCGACGCACGACCGGAGTTTACACTCTAAAAACGATTGTCTTTGAACAGACACAAAACAAAATCAAGTCCGAAGAAGTCGGTTACAAGTAGAGATATCTCAGAAATCGTCCCATGGTTTCGACTATCATAGGTTCCATGTCACACATTTTATCATCTAACATCATCGATATTTATCATATATTTTATTATGTATTTCTGGAAACACACAATTTCAAAAATATCACACACTAGTCATCATTTTGTAAATATGTATTAAAATTCCATCTGTACTGAAAATCACTATTCCAGAGTGCTGGACACTTACCGGCATTTCTCTATATTCTGTTATTTATTTGTTTTCATTAATTTTGCTCCGATTTTATCTATTTTTACTTTATTTATTTTATTGACATTTGTGACAACTTAATGTTTTTTATCCGTTGCCATGGCTAAAAGTGAAAGGTCAGTCATTTGTTCAGTAGATTTTACTCCTCACATTTTTCTCATACCGGGCCCCTTATATATGCAAATCGATTCTTAAGGAGCAAATTCCAAAAAATGAACGAGTCTTAACATAAACAGTCGGTTATGTCCAGCTGAAAGAGTTGTCGGACCCAAAGAGGGGCTGCCTGTCTCCTTCGAGCGGCCGCGAGTGTTCCGCTTCGCTGCAGTCCGTGACCATTACTTGCGCACGTCACCACGGCGCCGGGGACGATGCGATCTCCTCACGCCTTGACTCCGACTAACGGAGGTATTTATTCAGACAATACATATAGGCACCGAAGAGTTCTGCTTAGCTGCAGTCTGTGGCCATCGTCGGACGCTGACTGAAGGAAGTATTTAACCAGACTACGCTGTCATCATCGGCTTAATGTCCAAGCTTAATAATGTGTTACTGCAGGGGCACAAGCCTACCTTATGGATGGAATAGGGAGATTGGGCCAGCTTAACATGCCTTTCCAAGTACGGAGGAGTTCGAGATAATAAGTTTTTGGTCACCCATCCAATGACCGACCATTGCGAAAGTTGCCTAACTTCCACGATCTCAAATCAAACATACTACCACCTGCGCTATCAAGCGCCTTACAGAGGTGTAATAGATTGCAATTCAAACTTAATCGCCGCTGTGAAGTTAGCGCTAGAAATATAGGACGATGTAGTGAATCTTGCGCATAATTGTTTATATAAATCGCATTATAAAAAATAACTTGAGTGGCAAGGGAAGTAGAGAGAAAAGGATGCAGATACGAGATTGTGGTCACTTTACTCATCAGGCCCTCAAAGGACTTAGTAAGTACGAAAGGACGCGTTTATTTCCATAAGTATTGTAGAGCCATTGCAAGCTCTTCAGAACGTAAAAAAACTACGTCACCAGTGCGCAAGTCTACAGCTGGAGATCTGGGAGTAATCTCATGTTACTACCGTAATAAATGTACGTACGTAAGTAATATTGTGAAAGGCTTAAGTTTAGTATCACTTACTTATATTTCTACCGAATTACCCTATACTACAATAAAAATCACTCACTGGGTATTTTAATTAGTGTCTTATACAATAATACTAAATATATTCCCTACAACTTTTCAATCAACTGGATCAATGTTGCTTATTAAATATTGAAACGATTTTTCTAGGGCTTTTGACAAAGATAATGTTTTTTGCGTACTGATGTATTGGTTATTAATTTATGTATTTGATATAGAGAACTCAAAAAGTTACAAAACGAGCATATGCATGTATTGGATCATGAAATCATCTAAGATATCGTTGTTAAAAAAAGGGATGCCACAAGGATCAACGTCGGGCCAGTCGTAAATTTTCTTTTAATACATAATTATGTGGTAAGTTAGGATAACTAAATATGCAAATATTAGTTTTAATAACGTCTCATTTCAACTAAATGGATCAATTTTGTTATTTTTGCAGCAAATGAAGAAACAAAGTTATTCAAACCTGTTGACATGGTTTTGGCCTGTTCGATGGATTAGAGATAGTCAAGAGTACCCCTTAACTAAGGTTCATGTATTGTTTGTAGATGTTGGTATTTTGTATGCTAGTGTTATTAGATGTGAACGTATTTTAAACCAGTTTAATAGAAGTATGCTCATTCTTCACTATTGTTTATGAAACCTAAAAATATATTTCTTACTTCCAATTGTGAAGAATGAAAAGAGAGAATAGGTAATTAGCTTTTTTAATAACATTGGTCTTACACTTTTCATTTATTTTTTTCTTAATACTGACGTTAATTATTATTGATGCATGGCAATGGCAAAATGTTTATTAACTATCTGTTAAAAAAAGACATGTTGATAAAGAATGAGTATTTAGGTATATTTATTGATTTAACTATATAATTATGTATTAACAAAATTAAAATTAATGTATGAATTGTATTTAGTATTTTTTTTTGTAATATTAAGTGGGCATTTTAGCAGTAATATATATTATCGTAGGTAAAGTAAATAATGTCGATGGGAACGAACCACATCGTTTTCTTGAGCAAGTGACAGTGACAAGTTCTTGTATATTATCTAGTGGGTCATGATATTGACGATGTAGGAATTTGAATCATGTCGTTGTTAAATTCACATTGATGCTTGATAAATTGTTCAAGAGACGGGAATCGCACAATCCCAACCATAATGTAAAATCAAAACACATACATAGGGTGGGTAATAAAATCATTTAAAAAAAAATTGTCTTTAGAAAATTTTTGTTTCTTCGTTATAATTTGCAATTTACGACACCGTTAATAAGTAGAGACTATTCAATTAGTTTCTTCTTATCTTCAAAGTTGCTGTAGTTCTGGAGACATAGACATAAGGAGACTAGTATTGTATCATTTAACGAAATAATTATTCAATATGTGTGTTTTTTCGGTAGAATTAAGTTGCCTCTTGACGTTTTGTCTTCTCAAATTTTTGATCCTGACTCCAAGCTATGTTATCAAAGTTGTTGCGATATCAATGAAGTTTTAATTTATTTGCCAGGGTTCATAGAGTAGGTACTACAATTTATAGCTTATAATACTTTCGTGTAATTACTATATCTATATTGAGATTTACATGTGGCATAGTGATAGTAAGAAGTGAAAACTAAAGAAGCGAAGTATTTAAATAAAAAAGTTGATGAAAAACGTGTGAAATATTCTACCACTTCTAGAGTGATAACTGTTGTGTTTTTCGAAAAAAAAAATAGTGCGATTCAAACTTATTGGTAGATGTGAAGTTAGCACAAGTCGCCTCGCAGTCAATGGAATGTAGTGAAGTAGGCGCGCTCGAAATTTCACTGAACTGAAACCTGCGCATAGTTGCGCTCGCCGTTGACTTCACAACCGCCTTTAAGTTTGAGGGTTTTCTTGAATGACGGCTATCAGGTGGCAGCACTGAGCCGAAAGGTCTATTCATTCGTCTAATACATTATGCCGTCATATTCTACGGATAAATTAAATTACTCGTTGGATTAATTCGCGCCAAAAACTTCATACAAAAGACTCAAAGTCTCAGTGGCGTCAACTGTTGAAGTAAATTTTCCTAAGCACCCTCATTGATTGTGGTTTTGGATGGTTGAGAAGCGGAGGGTGGACGCGGATGTGACGTCACTGCCGGCGCCTGCATCTTCGCCGGCTGCTGAGGACCACTCCACTGGAGTGACTGGAGTCTTCATCGTAGAGCCCGTTTGTTTGTTTTTCTTTTTTTTCCTCTTTTAAATAAAGCATAGAACCAATATACACGAAAAGTTTTCATAGCTATTTTCAGTTTCAAGATTTTCATTATTTTTTTCTACAGCATCTGATTTGCGTACTTTATCCACTTTAAAATTTGTTAAGAATAGTTATATTTTCTGAGGAACTTGTGTCTGAGGCAAAAAATACCTACATACGTTCTAGTTCCATTTACGACAGTAGTTTCCTGCTAGATAATCCTAAAGAATTATGCTTAAATATTATTTTCGGAATAATTAGTTTATTCTACGTAATAAACCAGGTATATCTGCTTACCAAATTTGGTTCAGGAATTTTCATGTGATTTCACTGTCATTTTAATTGCCATACCCAATTATTAGTAGGATAGGTTGTACGATTAAATTCCAATATCCTTATAATTTTAATTTTTTAAGCATGTTGCATGCATGCAGCTCGCAGTTGCAAGCATGCATTGCAAGATCGATGTTTAAATCTAAAGCAGATATTACTAGAAAAAAAACACGCGAGCTACCGTCCCATCTGCTACCTAGTCCGCGTGGATTTTTTCTAGTAATATTTTTGCCTTTATCCTTTTGAATTAGCAGTAAACTTCTCCTTCCTAACAGCCTACCGCAGCCCCCATCATCGTATCCGACGGCTCCGTCGAACGGTTAAAAGGGAACCCGCCGGGGGAACATGCCGCGCCCGTTGAGGAGCTGTACTTCAACAACTGGCCCAAGAGCGACCCTTCCGTGATAGGGTGTTTATAACTCTTCTTGATTTCTAATTTTATATTTGCTTCCGGATACATTTATCGGCCCACCTAGCATTCTAAGTTTCGACTGACCCAAGCTAAAAATAAATGTTCGATTGAGCAAAATCTTTTTATGCAGTTTTGAAGTTGCTTTATTAGCCATCTTCGCTCTGCATCTTCTATCGCATTTATCACGGGGAGTGTTCTGAGGAATTGTTCGGATTAATTCCAGCTGCTGCATTGCGCCATCGTACATCGATCGACAAAAATTTCATCCCCATCATCTTGATGCGTGGCTATCCACAATCCAGAACCGTGCGTTTTAGTCGAATTTTTTTACCACGTACGACAAAACTGTGGAATACGTTGTCGCCAGCAGTGTTTCCGGACCAATACGACCCAAAAACCTTCAAAAAAAGTGCGTACTCCTTCCTTAAAGGCTGGCATCGCATTTGTGATACTCCTGGTGTTGCAAGTGTCCATGGGCGACGGTGATCACTTACCATCATGTGAGCCGTCTGCTCGTATGCCCCCTATAACATAAGAAAAAAACTTTTTGGTGTGTGCTTTTCTAAAATTTCGAATTCAAAATATTAAAAAACAGGAGTTATAGCGTATAAATCAAGTATTCGCCTCGTTAAAGGGCACGATTAGTTTTGATTTTTTAAAGAAATCAAACGTTTTATCAGTTTAATTAATAAGAGGTATTGCTTTCTAAGGCATCTTCAACAGCCTTGGTGCGATTAGGCATGGACTATGAAGTTCTGTGGTATCATCTCCCATTCCTATTCTATGGCAGTTTTCAGCTCCGACGTCGTTTGTGGAGCTGGCTGGCGAGATCGAACATGCCTATTTATACAATGCGTAGAGACGGTAGAGGTCGTCAAATATAATAACCAATTAAATTTTTCTTTGCAGTAAACCTGTCGATCGAGAATGCAAACAAAGTAACGAAGTAAGTATCAAAACGGCGTTTTTCAATCGAAAAATCATTACAAAGTATGAGTTCTTAAGTCTTACATATTTAACGGAGAATAAAACAAATAATCTACATTGACACTTTTTCCCCTGATCGCACAGGTGAAGAGTTGCGGCGGTGGTAGCAACAATGCCGACGCTCGCCCGTACAATAATGATGAAGTACGCAGTATGCCAGTTTGCAAGATCATGCAGGTGAGGCGATTGCTACAGAGGATTCGACCTCTGACTTGAAGGATCTCGCCAGCTTCCAATAAGCTTGGTGTGATGGCGAGATCTCTTCAAGTAGTTCATCCCACTTAGACTCCCGCGTTTCCTTCATGTGCGCCTTAACGACATGCTGCAAGGTACGCAATACGGTAATACCGGTAATCGGGAGCGGTTGTCGTCCGTGAGGTAATGGGTTTGACGTTTGGGGTCCACTCCACCTTTTGAAATGACTACTTCCGCATACGACCATTTCTGCCGACCGTATAGAGATTTTTTTTAAGTGATAACTGCTTATGGGAGGGTAAACCGCTTCGTTACGTAACGCGCTACTACGCCAGTTTGTCTGGCTTCCCTTCCTCTCAGGCAGTGTTGCTAGGTCCGATTTTAACAAATCGGGAGGCGTTATAGAATAAAGCAGTAGATGTACGGAAAGAGCTACAAAAAAAACATTAGACGCAGAGGCGTACTTTTTACGATTTACCTCCCCCCCTTACCCCTCTAGAATTGGTAAATCAAATCAAGATATAGGCGAGTAACGAATGTGTTTCTGTGGCTTATACTACTATAATATATTTATCTATATATATATAAAACTCAAAGGTGACTGACTGACATAGTGAACTATCAACGCACAGCCCAAACCACTGGACGTAGGGCTTACAATCCCGCAGCCTATCTTTAATTTAGGTTCTTGCGGGATTGCAAATTTTCGATCCCGCGGGATCCCGGTATTTCCGGGATCCCGCATAGAAATGAATGATATCAATTATTAAGCTAAATAAAACAACGAAATAATCAACGTATTTAAACTTTTATTATAGTTTACCTTTTAAATATTAAATATTACACATAAAAAAATAACATTGCACTTCCATAAGTTCTATTGAGATTAAAATCAACCTATCTTAAACAAACTGTAAGGAACTAAAGACCTCAATTATAATTAAAGACAAATTATTAAAATATCTTTATTATTTGCTTTGACCAATATTTTGTTGAAAATGTTTGCGAAGAAAACATAACTAAGGTCTAAGGTGTCGTCAGCCAAACTACTAGTGCTCGAGCCATCGCGCTCGCGACGAGACGTGTAGCATGTGCCTCTTTGCAGACCCGCAAATCCCGCGGGATCCCGCGCTCGTAATCCCGCTAGGAGCGGGACTGGAAAAAGGCGCGGGATCTCGGAATACCGGGATTGGAAGTCCTAACTGGACGGATCGGGCTGAAATTTGGCATGCAGGTCGATGTTATGACGTAGGCATCCGCTAAGAAAGGATTTTGATCAATTCTTCGCCGAAGCGAAGCGAGGGCGGGCCACTAGTGGCATTATAATTAAGGTTACCTACATTCTTAAACGCAACTCAACATGCACTTTAAAAAAGAAAATCGTATTTTAAGAAAAACATACATCTCCTGTCGTAGATCGGGAGAATTGGCAAACCTGCTCTCACGCATACGGCAGCGGTAGGAAGGCTCCTCCTCTCTCACTCTAACCTGCAGCGCCGCTTAGATTAGTTTAAGTCAAACTTTTTTGTGTCGTAGACCCCTTGCCATGTTTTTCCGTGTTGGGTAGACCCCCTACTTACCTGATATTGATTTTTTTTCGTTGACGTAGACCCCTTGCAGGTTGTCATAGACCCCTAGGGGTCGATATAGACCACTTTGGGAATCACTGCTTTAAGTTATCACTTCTGTCTCAATATGTCGTGCGTCCCGAGACGCACGCGCTTTTTTGACATTTACAGTAATTAACTAAAGAGAAAATTGCACATCCATCGATGCTTTTCAGCACAAGTATCTTAGTGGTGTTATAATAAAGCAGTTGATCACCAAATAGCTCGGTGATTATCACTTGCATTTGTCAAAAGTAGTTGGCGTAGGCCTGCTGGTTTTGACCACTTCTGCTAAAGACTGGGTACCTCGTAATATGACTGTCTCTGGATTCGAGCATTTCGTTTTTTCTCTAAATTTACCACAGTGCGCAAAATAATATGTTGAAAATAAATATTTTTTATAGGAATCTCTGAGGGTTATTTTACTGATGTGATGATATTACTCGTATTGGAGTTGTTTTTACTTTATGGACTCAACTCACTAAACTTCTTGTTGAGCTAAGTTGCGTTCACACGATCACATAAAAAAAGTTGCGTTTATTTGCACACCGTAATAAATTTAGTCGAAGGTGATCAAAAGCATTCTTGAATATCTAATGGGTCCTGACCTTAGAGCATATACCAATGTGTAGGTCCCGACTGTTAAAGTAGCATTATTCCTTACAGAATTATTAGACTACTGGGCTTGTTTTTTTTCTTTTCAGTTTTTATTTGAAGTAATAATTATTGTTTTAATCTAAGGCTTGGGCCTCTAAAAAGTTTAGGTCAGTCGGTAGCAGTAAAGCTACTGTGTCTTTTAAACAAACAAAAGCGGTCGCCGAGCTGCCGAGTGCATTTTCCGAGTGTGTCGTAAAAATATCGTTGTTGTTTTGGTTTTGTTTGTTCCGAGACGGTGTTAACGGTCGTCGCGGTCGTCGTCGTTGTGACGAAACGCCGGCGTCCGTCGCTGTCGGGGCGCCGCCCTTTGCAACACCTCTGTCGCTAATGAAGCCACTGTACAGGATGTTCCCTAATAGGGATGATGACTAATTTTTTTTTCTTCGTTTATCAGGTAGATTATCAAAAAGTATTGGACACGTATTTTTTCTTTTTTCACATAATATAAACATTGCAGAGATATATTGATTTGAAAAGTCGAATGACGTCACGTTTTGGTACAATTTTCACTTAAGAGTGACGTCACAAGCTCCTACTTCCAAACTTTGACGCGCTATAACTTTGTCATTTTTTGGTTGATTGCCCAAAGAAAAAATACGTGTCCATTATTTTTTGGTCATCTAACTGACGGACTAAATAGAATTTCGTTTACTGTACCCCGTCATCACCCCTATTATAATATTTTCATGATATGTAACATCTTTTCTCTCGCTTTCGTGCAATTTGTGGGAGTGAATACCTGAAGTGGGACGGAAGTGTGTAACAGGAAGTTTGGGAAGCGCGCGCTATTTGATTTGATTTTAGAACGTAATGTTCAAATGGCTTGTTGCTTTTGTAGTAGGTTTTATTTCTTTTTTTACTAATATAAGGTGAGGTTTCAAATGTTACACATCATACGCGACTACTGTAAGGCTCGCTCGTGTTTTTCTTTTTGTAATTTTTGCGTAGTATTATTTAATTCGTCTCTATTAAACCTTTGATCATGCTATTAATTATAAAGGATAGGATATTAGGGTTTTTTTTTATAGATATGTCCGACAAATGACTCCACCCCACCTGATGTTAAGTGCCGGTGAAGTCCAGACGTGAAGATAGCTGGTACAGCAGTTCTACCTGCCACACCAGCCATACTTACCTTGCCGGCCTGCATGTTGCTTCTTTACGCCTCTTTTAAAGGATCCCAGGTTGTAAGAAGGAGGGAACACGTCAGCGGGCAGAGTATTCTATTTACGGATAGTGCGACAAAGAAATGAGTCACCAAATTTCAATAAGCTACTTAGAACTTACCTGCTCAGGAAACAAAAAGAGATGTGAACTTTGACGTTGACAGGGGCACTATTGCTTGCTTTTAAACGCTTTCCCAAAAAAATTCAACATCCCTATTCTCTACTGAGAGGATTAGCTTATTTATAACTTTACTCAGTGATTGTGAAACAGGCCCTTGGTTAAATTAATATTTGGTTTCGGTGCCATGTCAACCCAAGTAGTAAATGGGAACTCCAAACATTAATTTGACTAAAGATAAAATAGGTTCATTATTGAAGTTATACTTATTTAGGCGCGTTATGAAAAAATGATGAGAGTGAAATATTTAGATGCGCGCGCATCACTGTAACCCAAAAGTAACAGCATGAAGTTGGCCGCGGGCGCGTTATGAAACAATCATGTGAGTGAAATTACGAGATGCGCGCGCATCACTGTAACACAATAGTAACACCATGAAGTTGGCCGCGGACGCGTTATGAATAAACCACTTAGTGGTTAATAATCCACCATTATTAGACATCTGTTCGAAAGGTACTTTGAACGATCCACGGAGCTCCATAAGATGATCGCGTTGTCAAAAACAATGTTGGCACGCTCGTCGCCTCTGATCACTGTTTTCATATTTATAATATTTATCCACATGTTTCTAGTTTCTATATAGACACAACGTGTTTTAGTTACTTACAAGTGCTAATTACATATGGACTAATAACTTAAATTCAGTAGTGATTTTAATTGAATATTTTGAATATTTATTTAATTTTTCAAATTAAAACTGAACTTAATTGACTGTGTTAACTATCCTTTTCCAGTCCTTTTATTATTTTATTGTAATTATGAATTATTTGCATGCAATTAAAAAATATTTTTAATGATGCTAAAGAAGTATAACTTCTCACGCGCGTACATAAGTTACACGCATCCATTTTTTTTTTACTTTTCGGCGGTTTGATGTTTTTGTTAAAAAGCTTTTATTTAACTTTTTTTGTGACTATATTTTTTGTGATAACAACTCGCCATCAAAATCTGTGAGTGAACATTCACCGCTACCTTCCCATCCTTAGAATAGGATTTTTATTTCTTCGACCGGACCAATTTCGGGGTATATACACTTTCAAATAAAAGAAGAATTATCAAAATCAGACGACTCTGTTTAAAGTTATGCATGGTCATAAATTACAATCAGTGAGTAAACAATCAATCATCCGCTGTTCCCAAACCCTTAGGGTTGGATTTTTTTTCAAAACTCATATGGGACTAACAATAATAAGGGACCTATCTATATCTATACCCTTTCTAATAAAAAAATAATTATCAAAATCGGATTACTCTGCAAACAGTTAAGCGTGGTCATAAATAAAAAAAAAAATGGGTGCGTGTACTTATGTAGGCGCGTGAGAAGTTATCCTTCTTTGGCATCGTTTAAAATTAGTTTTTCATTGCATGCAAATA